CCTGAGGTTGGATGGTCTGTTTGATGCTTCTATGTCTCTGGATATATTTTAGTTCATCAGTTTATGTTGTTCATTATATTCCACATATGAGTGAGATCATGTGATATTTATCTTTCTCCAACTGGCTTATTTCGCTTAGCATAATGCTCTCCAGTTCTATGCATGCTGTTGCAAATGGTAAGAGTTGAATTTTTTAATTTAAAAAAAAAAAAGCCAGAAATACACAAGGCAAATTTCAGTTTTCCTTTTTTCCAAATCTTACTTTATAAATTAAGAAAATTCTACACATTTTTAACCATAATTGACCATACTATTGCCTAATTTTGCAGTGGTAATTTACTCCCTAACACCCCTTTCTGTTTTATATGAGGTCTGGCTTAAAAAGCTCTCTAAGAATCTGTAATTCCCTGCTTCATTAGAGATACAGCTGTGTGAGCATGCTAATTACTTTTTTGAATGAAATAATTTATGTGTTCTCATGTTCCCAATGTGTCTGTCCTGGTTTCCCCCAGTTCGATGCCGACCGAAACGAGGATGAGGTGTTCTATGACATCAGCATGGCGGTGGACAGCAAGTTATTTCCGAACAAAGAGGCTGCAGCAAGTAAGTCCCTGTGTCCTTCGAGCAACAGTCTGTCCTGATCACCTGCCAGGTGTCCGGGGCTTTGTAGTAAGGTTGGAGCTCAACACATTGCTGTGAGATTTTGAGGATGACACTGTTCTCAGAGCTTTATACTTTCTGGTCTAGAAATCAAGGTACAAAACAAAAGAGAAAGGAAGGCCCTTATAGTTACTTGCCTTTCTTCCAGTCATTACACATGCAAATTAGTAGATAGTCACCATGTAGCATAAGACCTATCTATATATATAAAAGCCTAAGTGACCATTGCAACAGAACAACCGGAACGACTGGTCGCTATGACATGCACTGACCACCAGGGGGCACAGGCTCAACGCCAATGGGACCTGCCAGCAAATCTCCCAGTCCCTCCCCCCAGCTGGCAGGCTCCGATCACCCAATCGGGGCCAGGCCCCAGGGCTGGAACAGGGAACCAGGGGTGGATGGCAGCAGACGCAACCCCTTTCCCAGGGGGGCCAAGGACCAGCTCCCTCCTCGGGGCCAGCGGCCAACCTCCTAGGTCCCTCCCTTATCCCTCCCCCCGGCCTGCAGGCCCCAATCGGCCCGCCACCCACCTGCCTCAGTGGCGGTTGGCCGTCTCCCCTCTGCCAGCAGACCCCAATTGCCCTACCCAGGCCTGCCGGCCAACCTCCTGGTCCCTCCCCCTGGCTGGCAGGTCCCAATCGCCTGATCGGGGCCAGGCCCTGGGCTGGAATGAGGAACCGGGTGTGGGTGGTGGCGGACATGGGCAGCAAGGGAAGGAGAGGGGAGGTGGGGAGGCAGGGAACCGCGCAGTGGCAGCGTGTGGTCAGCAAGGAAAGGAGGAGGCAGTAGGCAGGGAACCTGATAGGCACTGACCTCCAGCCAGACCTAGGGATCCCTCCCGTGCACGAAATTCATGCACTGGGCCTCTAGTGTTATTATAATTGAAAAAAATCTAATCTAGCCTACACTTTGTACAAGAATTCAAAGTTCCAATTCCTGCAGGACTCCATAACCCATACAGGTCTCACCTTTGCCGAGGTTGGGGGGAGGTGGGGAGGAGCCTCCTCTCGGATCTGAGAGCCACTCCCACCTGCCCCACAATCCCTGCTGTGGCCCTGCCCCTTCTCTTCCTAGTACTCTCACCTAGAAGTTTGCCATTGGAGGGTCATGCAGAGCAATCATACCCCCATAGTGGGCAGGTCTCACAGTTCTGTCCTTGACCCTTCTCTCCCTGTCTTTTACTCTCTGGGTTAACGTAGTGTCCCTCTTGGCTTCAACTATCAGTTCCATGTGATGACTCTCAATCTTTGGCTCAGTCCTGATCTTTTTTTCTCAGTTATGGCCTCAGTGGATAAAGACCAAAAAGTTCTACGCTGTAAAGAAAAAGGCTAAACACTTAACATTTTAAGCCATATTTAAAGCCCACCAAGAGTAGCTTTAAAGAAAGGCAGGATTAAAAGGCAAGCGGTAGTCTTTCTGGGCAGACCCGCAGAGCACAGATAACTGATTAACTCAGCTGCCCACTTTTCCAAGGATGTTTGCAAAAAGACGGCCTACTGCAGGGAAAGGTGCAACATTGAGAAGCACGTAAGACCAGCTAAACAGACTGCTGCTGCTCTGACGAATGCATGACACCGGTGCTCTTCAAGTTAATATCTTACTTAGAACACTTATCAGACCTCTAACAACAGATATCTAATTGCCAGATAGCTTCAGTTTGCTAATGCAATGTGGGGGGTGGAGGGCTGATGTAGGCTGCCCCTTCTTTAGAACTGCCAGCATTTTGTGGCTTTCACGTGGCCTCGTCCTGCAATAATGCAGCCGGGCTGGCTTCTGTGCTAAGTCGGTACACTGCCTGAGGACCCGCCTTTGCCCTTATTCTCCCACGTCCCCTTGGCCCAGGGCACAGTGTCTGCCCTCTGTAGAGGTTTGAAGGGGCTCCTCTTTCCTCCGACTTCTCCCAGAGGGTGTTTGTGCTCACGGCTCTGACTCCCACTCCCAAGTCCTGGGAGCTGGGTTCTGCTCCAGCCTCCACAGCAGTCTGTTCTGTCTGTGTCAGCCCTCGGTGAGTGACGTGTGCCCGGGAGGGACTGTGGGAACTAGAAATAAGCGATGCCGCCTTCCAGGAAGCAGCCACTTGGCAGCTCCAAGCTATTGTTCTCATTAAGGAATGGGCCAGGGCTGTCAGATCCGTCTCTCCTCCACGAGAAAACAGAAACCTGCACTTGGAGATGAAATCTCCAGGCTCAGGAAGGTCGGTGACTCACCCAATTAAACTCGTCTTGCCGGTGTCCTCTGCTCTGTGAATTGCCAGCCCCGGGTTTTGTTCCTTTACTCTTTCCTTCTCTCTAAACCCTCTGCAGAGTCCCAGCTGCCCACGGCTCTCAGATCACCTCCATGGGAATGGCTTTCAATTCCTTTTTAAATGTTTAAAATAAAAACTGTATATATTTAAGATGTGCAGCACAGGAAATGATGGCTACAGTCAAACTAGTTGACATATACCAGAAGTTACCATTTTTCTATGTGTGATCAGTGGCACCTGAAGTATATTCTTTTCACAAAGTTCCAGTATTCAGAGTATTGCCGACAGGCATCATGCTGTACATTAAACCTGTAGACTTATTCATCCTACCTCACTGCAACTTGGTACAACGTTAGCCAACATCTCCCCACTTCGCCCACCAGCGTGCTCATGGTCACCATCATGCTGCTCAGCTTCTATGTGCTTGACTTTTTTCTATTCCACATATAAGTCAAATCATGCAGTTTTTCTCTTACAAGAGAGCAGGGCAAAAATGTTCCTACCCTCACAGCCCACACTGATCCTCTGTCCTCAGGGCCACCTTGGAAGTCCAGTCTTGTTCTCAGTTTCCACGGCACTCACCAAAGGCTGTCGTTCCTTGCCCATCCCTGGCCTCTCCTGTCTGTCATGAATATTGTTGTTGCCATGGGAATCCTCCTAGAATGCATCTCTGATCCCCCTGCCTCCCTGACAAAAAATGAAACAAAGCAAAACTTTCAATGACTTTCCTGCAGGCTGAGCATCATCAGTGCCCTTAGCGTGAGGAAAATACCCTTAGCTTTCCCACAGTGGTCCTGCTCCCTCTAAGGCATCACCTCCCCCATCACCCACACCAGCTTCCTCCAGGGTCTTGTAGACCTTAGGTATCTTCCTGCCTCTGGCCATTTTGCACAAGTTGCTTGGAAACGCCTGGGCAAGCATGTCAAACTCGCAGGTGGCAGGCCGCATTTGCATCCCTGGACTCTCCCAACTCCTAGCTCCATCCATCACCTGGTCAGATCCTACTCTGTATCTCAGATCAAATGTGATTTCTTCAGGAAGCTTGCTCAGGCCCCATCCCAGACTAGATTAGGCCCTGGAGTGGCACCCCGCACTTTTCTTTCAGGGTATTTATCACAATTGTGATTATATAATTAGAAATATGTTTGTTAAAAAAAATCTATTTCCCTTTTTAGAGTGCAAGGCTTCAAAAGGACAGTGTGTGTGTGTTGTGTGTGTGAGTGTGTGACTGTGTGTGTGTGTGTGTGTGTGTGTGTGATACCCAGTGTGAATCTCACAGGAGATGGCATAGAAGGCCTCTCCCTACTGGTCACCTCAGCTGGGCCGCTCAGCTGAGTACACCGACTCACAGCCCCACCACATTTTCATTGGCTCCAGAGCAGAGTGTAGGTTTGTTGCCTCCCTGCCATAGAATGCGGTTCCCTGAACCTCTGCACCCCTCCGGCCCATCTGCAGTGTCCCCCACTCTCCGCAGCCCTCCATTAATGCTACTAGCGGGGCCATGGGATCCAGCACTCAGTCTCTCTGGGCCTCCGATAATTGGGAACAGTAAATGGTTTATGTGTGTAAAGCACATGGCTGTCACATTGAAAAGACTATATATATCCTATATAATAAAAGGCTAATATGCAAATTGACCAAATGGTGGAACAACCAGTCGCTATGACACGCACTGACCACCAGGGGGCAGATGCTCAATGCAGGAGCTGCCCCCTGGTGGCCAGTGCGCTCCCACAGGGGGAGCACCACTCAGCCAGAAGCCTGGCTCACGGCTGCCGCTGCCAAGCACAGCGGTGGTGGTGGGAGCCTCTCCCACTTCCACCGCAGCGCTAAGGATGTCCAACTGATGGCTCCCGGACTGTGAGAGGGCGCAGGCCGGGCTGAGGGATACCCCCACGCACACACCCCAAATGCACAAATTTTGTGCACTGAGCCTCTAGTGTGTATATGTGTGTGTGTGTGTATATATATATATATATATATATGTTAGCATCTCTGCTGAGGATTTGAGGAGTCCCAAGGACAGACCACATCTTACTAAACACAACTCTTCCCCATTTCCCTAGGTCTGCTTCTGCTCTCCCTCTCTCCCTTCCTCCCTCCTTCCGCCCCAGGATAGAAGAACTGGAAAATCCCCCTTCCCTTCTCACCCAGAACAGTCCACCCACACCAGATCCCTCAAGGAGCTCACTTTTTAGTCCCAAATACTGTCCACATATTTTTTCAAAAAAGGGGCTCTTTAAAGTAATTCAAATGCAAACTGTGACTAACACTTTCCACGCTTGTTGGAATTAGCGCTGGCTGCTCCACCCGGCTCCTGGGTGACTCCTGGAATGCTTGCGAGGGCTTTAATGTTTGTGGAGCAAATGAAGATCAAGATCCACAAAAGTCAGATGTCAGCGTCCTTTCACTCACTTCAGTCCTTTGACATATATGTGTCGAATGCATAGGATTTCTAAGTACCATTCTTAGACTCAGAGATGAAATATGCCCTACCCCAAGCTGCTTATAATTTAGTGGGAGAGACAGAACTGGGAGAGGCCGCTTTCCTCAGAGGGGCAGATGAAGGGCTAGAGGCATTCTATCCACCCTTCACTGCCCCGAAGCCCTGCCTTGAGGGAGTGTTTCTTTATTTGGTACTCAAAGTGGGAGGAGGGCATTCCTAACACTTCAGATTGAAGATCCACTAGGTCCTAGTGACTAGGAAGAAAACGCCTGTGGCATTATCCCAGGAAGCAGTACTGTTAGCCTTGTGGTACCGCTAACGCCAATTTGTATCATCTTCCCACTTAAATTTAAGGAGACGACCTGGAAATGATATTTCCAAAAACCATTCGGCATCTAAAACTGGTGACACTGAGTGCTCCCTGTGGGCTTTTAATTCAGCTCATATTTTTCTCTGGTGTCTACAGAAAGGATACTTTTTAAAGATGAAAAGAAATCAAGAAATTCAAAATTGGGGGCCATACTATCACTTTTTTCAAATGTCCTAATTTTGCTCTTTTCTTTAGATAACAAGAGAATTCATTGAAGTTGTTTTATATGTTAAATTGCCCAATGAAAGAAGGCAAAATGTGTACATATGGCTATATTTACCTCCCTATTTTGTATAGTCAAACCTTAGACTGTTATTAAAGGTCTCATTTTCAGCAAACCAAGCAACCAATACAAAAGAAAATGAAAGCTATTCAGTCATTATCTGAGCTGATAATGACATCCTTTGTCTGTTGCCTTCTATAATAAATTAGTACTGTTGCCAAGAGCAACAATGTGTCAAGAAATTCCTCCCCTTTATGATACAATAAAATTTCTGTTAAAAGCATTTTTTCGGGAAAGCCAATCTCTTCTTCCTTATAAGCACAGGTTGTGGGTTATTGTTTTTGTAAACAAAGATCTCTTCATTCTGTTGCTGAAAACAGTTTTCTAATAATCTTGTTCCAGTTTCAAATATTAACGTATAATATCTCTTAACTGGGCTGTGTACAAGCCCTTCACTTTGTGCTTTTCTAAAACAACCAAAAGAACAGTTTCTAATTAAATAAAGTAAGTAGGACACAGGAACTAAAACAGCTACATGTTTAATAAGCCTTTGAGTTCATATCATGTTGCTCACTTCATATGAATCGCTGTACTAGAAAATAGATATGTGAGATGAGGGAATCATTTAAGTACCTATCTCCACTTCCACTAGGCAGCGGTGGGTAATATCCATACTATGGAAGTAGTGAAAACTAAATAAAATTGCCATCACCTTGAATGATGCTATTACTAGCAGCCCCTTGGTTGTCACCAGCTGGAGTGACACACCTTGATTTTACTTCTAATTCTTCCGTTTCTGCAGCCACCCAGGGACGCGTCTCATCATCAACCATTCATTTTCTCAGAATGTAGAGGAGACGGCAGGTCCTCCAGGTCCTCTCCTATCGAGTGCTAGAAGGAAAGATCATAGTTATAAAGCCACTGGGATGGCTCCTGCTTAGAATTTGGAGTCAGCGGATGTGTAGGAGAAATGGGGACTATAATTTCTATCCTTATCTCACTCACTGTCTGCAGGACCTTGGCCAAGTTATTTGACTTCTCCGCACCTCATGTTTCTCTTTTCTAAAATGAGGAGGAGGAAGTCTGTGAAATACTGGTTCAGAAATGTCTGTGCTCTTATCATAGAAAAATAATGCATTCTACTTCTGACATATTTCCTGCCTCACACACATACTAGTACATGCAAACTGACCTTTAAACTGGGCTTTCAGGCAGTCAGGTATCTTGGCCCTAAGACACGCCTTATACAAAACTAGAGGCCTGGTGCACAAATTTGTGCATGGGTGGGGTCCCTAGGCCCGGCCCGATGGGGGCCCATTGGAGGTGGGGCTGGCCGGGGGGAGGGGCCGCAGGAGGGCTCCAGGGCATGTCCAGCCCATCTCGCTCAGTCCCAATCAGCCGGACCTCAGCCCCCTACTGGTCGGAACGTCTATCCCCTGGTGATCATTGCACATCATAGCAAGCGTTAACATATCACTAGCATATTATGCTTTGATTGGTTGAACAGATGACCAGACACTTAACATATTAGGCTTTTATTACATAGGATTTTATTTGAAAAATACCAAAAGCAAAAAGAGAGAGAGAATGAAAAATACCAGATGCACAAAGATATAAAAAGTATCTATACTAATAATAGAGGAATATGCAAATTGTCCGGGATGCTGTTACAGTAACATTAACGACCAGCAGGCTGCCTGGGGCAACCAGGCTGGCAAAGGAGTTAGTGAGGGACGACCAAATGACTGAACAACAGGCTGCATGGGGCGACCAGGCTGGCAGTGGGGGAGTAGTTGGGAGTGACCAGGCTGGCAGGGGGGTGCAGTTGGGGGCAACCAGGCCAGCAGGGAGGCAGTTGGGGGTGACCAGGCCAACAGGGGGGCAGTTGGGGACAACCAGGCCAGCAGGGGGCGCAGTTGGGAGCAACCAGGCCAGCAGGGGGGCAGTTGGGAGAGACCAGGCAGAGGTGGTTAGGGTTGATCAGGCTGGCGGGGGGTGCGGGGGCCGTCAGGCAGGCAGGTGAGCAGTTAGGAGCCAGCAGTCCTGGATTGTGAGAGGGATGTCCAACTGCTGGTTTAGGCCCAATCCCAGCAATTGGACATCCCCTGAGGGGTCCTGGATTGGAGAGGGTGCAGACTGGGCTGAGGGGACCCCCCATGCACGAATTTCATACACCGGGCCTCTAGTATATTATAATTCCACTTTAAAAAATTATATATGTATAATTAAATTTTTGTGTATCACCCCTCTAGTCTCACTCTGTTAATAGCGTGTGGTGCATAGTCTTCCACACTCCATTCTAGTGAGCACCTTATTAACAATGGAATTGTCAAGGGCCTAGCACTGTGCCACACACACCTATGTGACTCTCAGTAGCAACCCTGCAGTTAGCTACTTTTCCAAAATGGTTCGAAGGGTCAATTATATCCATTTTGAAAAACTTCATTATCCTTTAAAAAAATTTTAAAGATACAAACAATAAACAGTAGCGTGACTGCTTAGTACTTAGTTTGGTAAGCAGCAGGGCTAATGATGAGAAGAGAAGAGTTGAGAAAAAAAACTATGTGAGAACCTACCTAGATTCTCTTTTCGGAAGAAAGTATGAAAGCAGCCTCTCTGGAGAGGCCCATACCTGAGATGTTTTTATCAAAACTCCATCTTCATTCAACATTACTCATTGCATATTGTGGCCAAGAATTATTTGGCAAGGCCAAGTATAAAATGAAACATGGAGTCGTTTATTTCCTTACAGGGTGCATAGTGTTTTATGGGCAGCACTGACTTCTGTCTTTCTGGCTAGTTAGGTGATTTCTACAGGGGTGGGCAAAAGTAGGCTTAAGGGTATGCATTTATTCTTGTACTACTAGTTATTTATTGGTTTGTATGACTACTGTAGACCTACTTTTGCCCACCCCTGCATTTCGAAGCAGGAGAGAGTTGCTAGATGAGGATGATGAATCAGTTGTGCTCCAGGAGCTCCATTATGAGCCTTTGGGGGCCATTGGGTAAGCAATTCAGTGTAACCTGTGGCACCCAGGGAGGGAAGATCCTATTAATACACTAAGCTGACCTGATTTTTCTCACCTTCAGGGACTTAGGGGATGCAAAGGCTGGAGGGAAAGCTCAGGTTCTCATGGACTGAGCAAATTCAGCATATCTTATTTCTAGGAACCCTTGCTCTTCTCCCACTCTGGACTTGGCTCATGGTGTTCCCTCCACCTCAGTGTCTATCGCACACCCCTAAACTGCTTTCCTCTGAGACAACCCTATTCACCCTCACAGTTCAGGCTCATGGATTCGTTCCTCGTGAACAATCCCACCTCCACCAGCACCTCCACTACTAGGCAGAAGTAACCCTCTCTTTTTGGTCCCTGCACCTTGCTATGGACAAATCCATCACCTCCACAAGTTTGTCTTCTTCTTAAGGGTGGAGACCAGTGATGGCGAACCTATGACACGCGAGTCAGAGGTGACACGCGAACTCATTTTTTTGGTTGATTTTTCTTTGTTAAATGGCATTTAAATATATAAAATAAATATCAAAAATATAAGTCTTTGTTTTACTATGGTTGCAAATATCAAAAATTTTCTATATGTGACACGGCACCAGAGTTAAGTTAGGGTTTTTCAAAATGCTGACACACCGAGCTCAAAAGGTTTGCCATCACTGGTGGAGACAGTGTCCACAGCACCTGCGTTTTCTGTCTGCAGGTCAAACAGTGCCTGGCAGATGGGAAGAGTCTAGAAATGTTTGTGAATTTAATGTAGTCATGAGGACAATACGGAAACCTAGTGGGAGAGTGTTTGCTCTAGAAATGTACGCGGACAGCCTCCTTAGGTCATCCTTCCCTTTCTAATCTTAGGTGCAGGTGACCTTGATTCTCCGATGATGTTGGACTCTGGAGAGATCATTGACCCAGGATCTGATTATGAAGATCAGGTAATTAAAACCTAAAAACATTTCGCTGTTTAAGTAGTTTTCATTTTAGCCTTTGTTAATGTTTCATGAAAATTAGAATTCCAAATCATTTTGAGAAATGTTTACAGTAACATATATCCTGTAATAAATCGCAATAGCCTACAGCTTTCATTCATTAAATTCGGTCCTTTAGCTCGTCCTTATCCACAGATATAAAATGGCAATAAATTAAGAAAAGGTTTGTGGTCAAAAGTTACATTCGATAGAAATGAGGTTACCAGAGTTATCTTGCCCAAGAATTTGCCTGTATCTCTATCACTTAATCCATAATAAACCAAAGGTATTTATTAATAAGCATTGGCTACAGGTTTGGGGATGTGCTTTCCTATGTCTAACTTTTGAAAGGGACTGATGGCCAAGGGCAACACAGCCAGGGAGTTAAATATGTTTTCTATTGGAATAAAAGCAAAGAAATGTATCTGGGTCATTTTCTTCTCGGCAGAAGAACTTTCCCTACTGCTATATTTTAATCTTCCAAAATAGTTGGCAAATGATCCAATCCTCTCATTGGGCCTTGTTTTTTAAACAAGGATAATGTCCAAAACTCCCTCCCACCTCTCACCAAAGCTCCTCTGCAATGGCTGAGCGCCAGGTGGACATGGGCTAGGTTTTCTCCCCATCTTCAACTCATATATGTCTCAAATAAAGCAGGTAGGTCTGACCACTGACCAGATATAAAGGCTGGCTACACATTTCACGTACATATGCAGAAGTTATTTTCACAAGTGTTAAGTTTCCTTTCCTTATATCACAAAGCAAGAAGTTACTGATGAGTCATATAATGGTACATACTTATATTTTAGCATCTATTAGGCGCTTAATACATACATAAAGATAGTGCTAAGTTTGTTCATTTGATTATCTCACAACCTCTTTGGGAAATAGGAATTATTATCTCTATTTCATAGACAAGAAAATTAAGCAAAGAGTAATTTGCTCACAGGTATACAACAGGTTTCACCGTGGGGAGATAAACTTCGAGCGCATTCCCTGCCTCCTTTCCTAGCTTCCAAATGCCACCCATTCACTGGTACATTTTTGGAGCCTTTTCAGTTGATAAACCTTAAGATCTCAACAGAGGCAAACACCAGACAATCACTATTGAAGGTGAGTTCACAATCCAAAATTACAGGCGGCACAAAGAAAAACCATAACAAGAAATCCAGCTGGTTCAACAAATGAAAGACTTCACACCCCAAAAACTGGAGATAACAGAAAAGTCTGAAAGAAATGTTAATATCGGAATTTTTTTTTAAATATATTTTTATTGATTTCAGAGAGGAAGGGAGAGGGAGAGAGAGAAACATCAATGATGGCTGCCTCCTGCACGCCCCCTACTGGATATGTGCCCTGACCAGGAATCGAACCATGACCTGGTTCACAGGTGGACACTCAATCACTGAGCCATGCCGGCTGGGCCAAAAAAGTTTTCTTACATGTGACTTCCAAAGGGAATATGGATAGGAAGGAAAGGGGTATGAGGAAAACAGACCTGCTGTTAATTGCACATTACCTCTTCTCATCCATTTGATATTCCCATCTCCCTACAAGCAAGAAAGCTGGAAACAGAGCTTACTCAGTGTCCAGGAAGAAAGATCTATTCCATGAGCACTGAGCCAGCCTGGACCACAAAACTCTTGCGCC